AATAATGGTGGTCAGGGGTGTGGTTCTGAGGGCTTTAAAAGGAGAGTGAATGAGGAGGTTACTCTCTCTCCGCTCCACCATTTTCACAGTATGATACTCTGCCTTCACTGTCACCACTACCAAGACTCTCACCAGAAGTGTTACCTGGACATTGGCGTTCCCAGCCTCCGAAACTGTAAGCAACAGAAATAGACTACGACAGGGCGGCAAGGACAGGGAGCAATGTGAATACACAGGACCGGTGAGTGCGTAAACCAGGACACTCCAGAGAATGACCTGGCGACACAGAGAGTAGAGATGGGCGTCACCAGCCCCCAGCACTTCCCCAGAGGGACTTGAGGGCAGACCCTGGGGCAGTCCCTCCCCACCTGGAATGCACACGCAAACCCCGGGCACCTGGGTAATGGGTGGATGGGGCCCGAGAATCTGCATTCCTAACCAGGTCCCAGATGCTGCTGATGCTTCAACGTGAACACACTTTAAACAGCATGAAACCAGGAGATCAAATGAGTTCATTCCATATGAGTGTTCATCGCAGGGTTTTTATAACAGTGAAAAATTAGAAATAACCCATATGCCAAAAAAACTTTAATTAAAATTNTAAACAGCATGAAACCAGGAGATCAAATGAGTTCATTCCATATGAGTGTTCATCGCAGGGTTTTTATAACAGTGAAAAATTAGAAATAACCCATATGCCAAAAAAACTTTAATTAAAATTAAAATTTAAAAAAAAGAAATCACCTGAAAGCCTACCAGCATGGAAACAGATGTTAAAACCAGAGTGAAGACCATACTTCTTCCAAAAATGGAGAAGTATTCTGCACCTGTTAAGATGAATGTACCAATCCACAAACGCGTCACCAAAAGTACAGACGGGACGAGAAGGCACACTGCACAGAAGCACAGCATGACGTCCCCTATGCGTATGTTAAACTCACACACACGGTAAAGCTTTATAAGCAGGTATCAGAAGGACACACAGAACGTTCAGGAAGTGGGTGAGTACAGAGGGATAAAAGGAGGCTTCAACCAGAGCTACAATGTTTTACGCACTTTTAAAAAACTCTGATTCCAGGCCGGCCCGTGGCTCACTCGGGAGAGTGCGGTGCTGATAACACCAAGGCCATGGGTTCGGATCCTATATAGGGATGACCGGTGTGCTCACAGTGCTCACTGGCTGAGCGCAGTGTGGCCGGTCTCTAAAAGGACAAAAAAAAAAAAAAACCAATCCTGCTGGCCAAAAATTGGTTCAACAAGGAAAGCCCTACACACCACAAGACAAGACAAGGGTCCCCACCTTCCGAGCTCGTCCTGGTCCACGCACACGGCACCCAAGCTCTGGCAGCCGATGACCAGTCCCCGCAGGGGGCCAGGCCCTGTGCCCTGGAAAAGGCCCGCAGCCCCCAGCTCCTCCCACAGACGGGACCTGGAGGGGAGCACAGGCCAGCTCGGGGTTAGGCACACGCACTGACGGTGGGACCAGCAGTGCACACCCACCAGCAGTCTCTTCCATGCTGCACACTGGGGCCATCCCAGGTGGTACCACATAGGCACAACAGGCAAAACCAGGCCAGTGCCAGAAGCCCACTCAGTGCCCTTCTCATTTGTGAACCTGGTCTCAGCGACAGATGCTCCCGAAACTGGAGAGTGCACACTTACATGTGATCCAGGTTCCATGTGCTGAAGAGGATCCGGCTCTCCCTGTTGCTGTATGGGTTGATGGAGTGCCTCGACACGCAGGCGTCCTTGTCGAAGGGACCCTGGGGGCCAAGAGGGACGAGGGAAGGCTGGCCAGTGAGTCTCTTCCCCACTGTGCCCAGCACCCATTCAGAGGAGCCTGCTGGGAAGTGTGCCCCGTGGGGAATCTAGGCCCTAACCCCCTCTGCTATTTTGGAGGTATGAAGAATTCAGCCTTTCACGGGAAACAGGCTGGGGAAGGTGCTGACTTGTCCAGGCCACGTGGATATTTCCCTGAAATTCCAGGAGTCT